TATACAACAAGCCAAAACGAATTCATTTAGGCTAAAACGAAACTGAAACCAACATTGGGTCTCTCATTCGACACAAAATCAAATGTTTTCGTATTCGCGATGTATTTGAATGGCAAATTATTATTTATTATGTAGCCTAGGCTTCACTCACGTTCCAATATCCACGTGAAACATGATGTTTTGCATCATTTACGGCGGTACTGTGATAACGCTTAACGGCACAGATTTTACTACATAGTTTTTACTACATAGTTTTTTTTCCATATGTTTGACTGACTGTATTTTATTATGATAATGAACAGTTTTCGCGCAACACAAAAATGAACCGAAACTCTGAATACTAGGCTAGGCTACTTGTTGCACAGTTTTTCTTTCATTTTCTTAATTTATTAATTAAGTAAAAATATGTTTCTCGTATAGGCCTATTTATTCGTTTTATATACAATGGGTACGGAAAGTATTCAGACCCCCTTAAATTTTTCACTCTTTGTTATATTGCAGCCATTTGCTAAAATCATTTGAGCGTCGGTTGTCGGTTAGGAAAAATAACCGAAATGAACATCCCTACAGAGCTCCCATTTAAACCTTACTAAATACTAAAGTAAAGAACATTTTCTGTCTCTTGATAGAAATAGCTAATAGTTTAAAATGAGACATAAACACAATCTCTTAACATTGTTCCTTACTTTTCAGAGGCCACTTATGTATAATTAAGGGAAGAGTTATTAAATTTCTTAGTACTGAGCTAATATCTGTGGATTAATCCCCTGTAGGAGACATGAGCAGAGGATTATGGGCCTCCTCCACTGCTGGCTTTACTACAGATTTTCTCTCTCGTGTTGTATCGGATTCGCAAAAAAACAGATTTCTTTGTAGATTATTTAGGTTTCACATGGATTCAGTGTGGGATTAGTGTTCTGATCTGGGATTGATTATAATCTAGTTCACGTTATCAGATCTAGCTACTTAATTCAGTCATATTACACAGTAAAATATCTAAATCCAGAACAGATCCATGGGGATCTATAAAATGTATATATCTAAAAAGGCCTTGATTCTCAGAAGTCATCTACCTCAAACTCTGCATGCTTGTGGACGTCCTCAGCTCGCTGTCTGTTGAGGATGAACTCTGCTTCATTGGCCACTCGAACGATGTGATCCTTCATGGCATGACAAAGGAGTCTAGAATGAAGAAAATATGGTTTTCAACAGGGAATTTAAAACAAATGGCATTCAGTCAGTCCCTAAACACACATAAAATACACATCTGCACATGACACACAATCCACCCCACAATTCTGTTTGATACCCTTATAGAAAATGCAATCATTCATCTTTTATGGGATCTCTGTTACTTTGTGTTAATTGTCATTTTACACATCATTAAGTCAGCTTTGTTTTAATTAACAAGAACCATGGCGTTTCTGTGGAACATAATGCTGAGCGTAAATTTCCATTCCCATCCCGCAGAGTGGCTTCAATCCGGTGTACAGAATTCAAATGTGCATGCTTCTTTAAGTGTTGACAAGCAATAAATAATATTTGGCGCTCAGAGGAGGAAGAAAAAAATAGTACACAACCTCAATCTCAGCATGATAACAGTTCAAATTTAAATCTAGGGCATGACTTTACTTCTTCAGTACTGGCAGAGAAGTTGAAACAGCAGTTTAGCTGTGCATCATGAAGAGTATGTTAAAAATCCACAGCAAAACATTTATTGACTATTTCTAGAGTTCCAAAAGGCAGAAAGTGTTGTGGCCTTGGTGACTTATATGACGGTGCAGGTGAAACAGAACAGGGGCTCCAGATCAGAGGCACAGGGGTGACATACATCCAAAATGGTGACATGGTGCGGCTCATAAATCACAGATGCCCTACTAAAAACTGAATGTATATAAATAAACTGGAATAGACTGTTATATAAACACTCCAAGGCTGAAAGTTCGCGCAATTACTTCAGAAATTATTCCACAAGCAAAGTTTTACAAAGTACTTTAATACTTTTAATTTAGTTTGTTATTAGAACATAAGGAGACTTTCCAAGAGGCCAAACACAACATTAGTCTCATTAAATTGTTCAAATAAACTAGCCAGTTAATATATGGAGTGCATCTGCTGGTTTCTGAAAGAAAAATCACTTTCATTCTGTCCTTTTTTTTTTCAGTGATTACATACAAACCTACCGTACCATCAGTTCTAAGTTCTTTGTTTTTAAAATAAATAAATAAATATGTATAGAACACATACATACATACATAAAGTGTATTTATACATTAATCAATATATTTATTTATCAAAATCCTAATTTATCATAATTATTATATTTTATATGTATTTGTTTTTGAAAACATATTTCATCAATTAAATAAAAAATACACTAATTATTACACACTACCATTCAAAGGTCTGTAGGATATTTTGAAATGTTTTTTTATAGGGGTCATATGATGCGATTTCAAGTTTTCCTTTCTCTTTTATTGTCACAGTTTAAAATAACTTTTTTTCTATTTAAATACATTTAAAAAATGTAGATTATTCCTGTGATGGCAAAGCTGAATCTTCAGCAACCATTAGTCCAGTCTTTGCTGTCACATAATCCTTCAGAAATCATTCTAATACGCTGATTTGATTTGATTTTTTTTTTTTTTATAACAATGTAAAGCCTTTAAAATTTTTATCAGTTTAATGCATCCTTGCTGAATAAATGCATTTATTTAAAAAAAATAAATTAATAAAAATACTGACCACAGACTTTTGAATGGTAGAGTATTTAATTACAGATTTCCCTGTGAATTACTAAAAAAAGAGAATCTCCTTGGTATAAGAGAAGGCACTGTTGCTAGTAGCAGCCATCCACTCCCATGAAACATTCCAAAATACATATTTATACCACTTAATTTAACCTCTATAAAGAACACGAATGGAAAAATGCTTCCAGGCGATCACTGTAGGCGATCACTACTCTACTGCCACTGAGGTAAGGATTTGGAATGAGAGCCACTGATACAGACAGACAGAGAGACAGATAGACAGACAGGTAGAGAGGGTGAATGACTGATGTGCCAGCACCCTGGACAGCGACTATCTCTGCTGACTCAGGCTTATTGTCCAAATGTGTGTGTGTGTGTGTGTGTGTGTGTGTGTGTGTGTGTGTGTGTGTGTGCACAGATGGGTCAGCAGATGGATGTGCAGGCTGAGCCGCCCTGGATCAGCTCGACAACAATGATTCAAAGCCTAAACCTGACAAACACATGGACATAGACATTTTGAGACAGAAAAGTATACCTAAAAAACTAAACAGCATGTTGGATATGTTTAAAGACTCGCATGATTTACACATTCTGGACAGGAAGTACATCAGAGGATTTATAAAGCCACTCTCTCTCAACATGCTTATCTCAGTGTATTTTCCACTCTGGTCAACCACTTCCACTCAAAACACACACATAGACTGTAGCCAAACTAGTGGGATGAGAGGCTTAGGGGCTAATCTGGTTCCCTCCCTGTTCTCTAGTCAGCCTCAGAGATGCCATGGCAACCCGACAGCCGAACAGACCAGCACTAGATAACCAGTTTAAAGTGACATTAGCTACAGTACAGTGATATGTGAGCTAGTAATGGTGTTTGAGGAGCAGAAGTGAGACTTTACCTTCCCTCGTTGATAAGCTCAATGAAAGCCAGGCCAGCGTTCTTCTGTATAGAGTTCTGCCACTCCTGAAAGAAACAAACATTTTTCATTTATATGTGGATTGTGTTCATTTTTCATCAGTGTGATTAAAGACAGCTTTTGCACCAAAAGAATATCTAAGTGTTGATTTTGATTTAAATAATTTTGAAACTAAGTTCTTTTTATTTTTGTTACATAAAAAGTCCCATTAAAATCAACTTGGAAACGTTTTGCTGGACCCAGACTTTTGATCTTAAAATATTACGAACCATCATAAAAATATTAACCATTACATTTCTAAAACTTCAATAGTGTGTTATAAAAATGCTTAATATTATTAATAATACGAAAATTATTTTAAATATATATTAATTTTAATAATTTATCATTATTATCAGTGCTATTTTAGTATTGTTGCGATACTATTATATTTATTAATATTATGAATCAGTTTTTATTTTTATATTTTCTGTTTTTATTTTTAAATTTAAATTTTAATTTAGTTTAGCAATTTAGTTGTTATTAATTTTATTTCAGTTTAGTTATTTTTAGTACAAGTTTAATTAAATTAAAATGGGAAATGTTGCAACCAGCTGAAATAAAGTTTTTTTTTTCCAGTTAATGTTTATTTCACGTAATACATTTTTTTAAATTTATTTATACATGCATACTTACAAAATTTTAATATTATTTATATAGTCATTTCTACCACTTTTTTACTTGGATACCAAGGAGACAACACTATGAAGGAAAATCAAGATAAATCTCACTTTTCCAGTCCATTTCCAATCACATTGTATTTTATGCATTAAGTGTAAAAATATTTTTTAATTTTGTGAATTTAGGATATACGCAAATATGCATGAAAACAAGAGAGTTAATTTATGGTTAGATCCAAATAAGTCCTGGTGAAAATTGATTGAAGAACATCTATAATACAATAAATAAATAAAAAAAAAACAGTGGCAAAAACATCTGCACACAAAAATATCTCTCTCCTAAAGTCTCATGTTAAGCCTAAATGAAACATCTAGTGATAGTGATCGCAGCAAATTGGATTGCTATGTATTTGAGAAAGCAAAGATGGCTTTGAGGTCACATACAGTCTACGCGATCAAGAGCCAAAGCCATAAAAAGGCTGGAACTCAGCCTTGTGTGTGTGTAAGCATCTTTTCTTCCTCTGCGCAAAGATCCGTAAACACTGGAGAGATGTAATTGCTGAATGAAACTGTATCCTCTTGCCCCTTAAACACAGCCATTTCCTCCCTGTGAGCACCCAGTGACAGATCACCGAAGACCTCCGTCTAGAGACCGGCCCTCTCGCCTTGCCTCGAGCGCTTTTGAGGCCTTAGGGAACGTCTCACACCCTCCCTCTCCCCGTTTCCCGGGCTCTCCTTCCTCTGCTGTCTCTCACACACACAGCACGGGTCTGGAGGTGATTAAGAGGCAGTCGTGCTTCTCACTATGGGAAACTCTCCTCCATTCTCCTGTTTGCTCTCTAAGGTACGAGTTAGGGGGGAAGAGCATAAGCTGGGTTGAAGTTCAAAAGGAAAGAGGGCATTTGCAAAAAGTGGGCCTCAAAGATATTCCCCCGTCCCGTGGTGAGGGAGTCAGGGTGAGAGAAGAGCCGCTCGGGATGGATGTGAACGATGCTCTCAGAACGAGAGTGTTTTGAGCATTTTATTTTCTTTTAATTGTTTTATTTCCCAGTTTCATATTATAATATGACATTCATGTTTTCTGTAAAGACCTTTGCAAACACTATTTTTAAAGGTGCTGTATAAATAAAGCTTTACTTAGTCAGTGATGACAGGGAATGCTGGGAAATATGGCCTTTTCGGTGGTTGGGTGGTTTTAATCGGTAATATATAGTGGGCCAAAAAATAATTTTGGACATGAAAGTTTTTAACTGTGAAATGTCAGAACTAACCACACTTTTCTGAGCCATTTTTGCTATTTCTTCTACTCAACTGGTCCCCCCCCCCAAAAAGCTGTATGAATTCAATGGCAAGAACCTCTAAAGTTTGACTTCCAAATAATCATATTCATCATCATCATTTTCAACAGACCATGCAGAGCAGCCCATTTATTTCCAAACATTTCACGTCTTAATTATAGACAGATAGATAGATAGATAGATAGATAGACAGATAGATAGATAGATAGATAGATAGATAGATCGATAGATCGTCTTTCAAAAGTTTGGGCCAAGAAGATTTTTTATGAAAGAAATATCTTATGCTCAGCATTTTTTTTTTTTTTTTTAGGATTCTTTGATGAACAAAGTATAAAAGAACACCATTTTTTTACATTGTAAATGGTAAAAACTGTTTACTGTCACGTTGGACCCTTAACTTTTAAAGAATCATGTATAGATTATAATTTGAAGCCTAACAGACATCTTTTTTGCAAAAGAAATACTGTTCATGACACGCATTAAAAATTCCACTTGTTTTGATATTTGGTTACATAATGTACAGAAATTCATATATTTGACAAAAGGGATAGTTTGCCCAGAGATGAAAATTCTGTAATCATTTACTTCTCTGGAACACAAAATAAGATATTTTGAAGAACTGTTTTTGTCCATTGGACCCCATCAACTTTCATTGTATGAACAAAAATACATTTTTAAAATATCTTATTTTGTGTTCCATAGAAGAAAGAAACCAACAGAAGTTTGGAACAACATGAGGGTGAGTAACTGATATCAGAATTTTATTTTTGGGTGAACTACCCCTTTAAATATAAAATACTTCTGGAGCCACAGTAAAGCTGCACAGCACAACTGATAATTTGAATTGACTACTAGAAAAAAAAAACAATCAAAGTTTGAGAAAAAAAATATCAAAAATCACACACACTGGTAAGCATACCCCTCACTGAGCCAGAAAGAGACAACACTGAAGCGCATCTGGTCTCCAAATGTTGTAACTGACCCAATATGCCTCCCTCTCTCTATTTCTTCTCCACCATTCATTATCTACTCCGCAGTCAGGCGGTTCGTCGCATGGGATCGGCTGCCTCAGCTCAGTGCTTCTTCACTAGCCTCCGCTCAAGTAGATCAGCACCCACGTGACAAAAATAAATAAGGAAATCCATGCAGATGTGGGGCACACTGGCCTGCCAAAAGAAAATGACAGAGAGCCAAGTCCCAGTCCGCTGTCTCTTCTCAAGTAGCCTTTGCACTACAGCACTGTAACACACTTCTTTTAAAACATTTTTTTTATCTTCTTTCTCTTCATGCTGGAGATTGAGGGTCCCCAGTGGGAGGTGAGTGTGATTGTGAGGGGATTTTGGGGGGCTCAGACAAGTATGCCGTCCATGTGATGTGCATTAGCGATGACATGTACCTCCAGAAGGCTGTAATGCGATCCCTTATGTAAAAGAGAAGATCACTTCCGGCCTGCCATCTCCAGCGAGGGGCTTATACTGGGAAAAGCTGACACACTGGGTTTAAGAGCTGATGCAGACAGTTTATCTTGTATTTTAGCACAGGGGTTTTCAAACTGCGGGCCGGGGAGCCCCAATGGGGCCCATGGAAATGTTTAAAGAACAATAGTTGGGAAACAAAAATGTAAATAAATAAATAAACAAAACAAAACAACAATGATAAAAAAATAACCAAAAAATAATTATACATATTAAATAAATAAAGTATCATCTTATTAGAAAGTAGTAGTAGCAATAATAATAATAATAATAATAAAACAACTACAATAGTGATAATAATAACAATGAAAAATAACTATACATAGCAAATAGAAAATAATAATAAATATAATAATAATAAAACAACTACAATAGTGATAATAATAACAATGAAAAATAACTATACATAGCAAATAGAAAATAATAATAAATATAATAATAATAAAACAACTACAATAGTGATAATAATAACAATGAAAAATAACTATACATAGTAAATAAAATTAATAATAAATAAAAAAGTATGATGATGATGATGATAAATCATTAAACATAGTAAATAAATAATAATTAAAGCTGACAACTGAACAGAAAATAAAAACAATAAACAAACATCAATGTCAACTAAACGTAAATAGCAATAATAAATTAATAGCAATAATAAATTATTATACATATTACATAAAAATAAATGTGTCACAAATAGAAAGCACTATAATGTTATTAATTTTTTAATTATTCATGCTAACAATAATAAAGAAAGAAAGAAAGAAAGAAAGAAAGGTAAATATAAATAGGAAGTAAATATTTTTCAGATAATATGTGATTTGTTTATATATTTATTTTTTGCAGTATAAATAGGTCTTTATAGTTATATAGTTATGTATATAAAAAGACAACACTGTTTTACCATACACTAAATGAGTAATTCAGCTTTAACCTTTATATTTGATCCCGAATTTATGATCTTTTTGTATATTTCTACTTGTACTGTTTACGTTCTTTTTTTCAAAAGTACAGGAAAAAAATATGCAAGCCAGCTGGTTCTCTTATCCTTCATGATTATGATCTGACAAGTCACCTCCTTGCTTCACTGAAACCTTGAGTACATGCTTTTTCAAAGCCAAGAACTTAATTTCATTCAAACTCCAATCATCTTTTAACCTACGCCTCCAAATTCCAGTCACAGCTGTCAAGCACTCCTGTCAAAACTGCCTGCCAAAACGTCCTCAGCTGAGAACGCAGTCATTAGCCAAAAATGTGCCCCACAAAAACTGTGGGAGGAAAAGAAATTGTAGTTGTAGCACTTGCGCTTAGCTGTGCACCTCAGCCAGACAGTTTTTTTTCCTCCCCCAGCTTTGTAACCCAGACTTTAATGGCTCTTGAGAATTTGCAGCATCTCAATCCAACCTGTCAAGAGACAGAGGGAGCGCTTTGCTTTTATCTGCTCAGCGCTGCTCCCGACATCTGGAGGCCGTCCATCTGTAAATCTCTCCGGCTCCACGCTAGATCCTTTATGTGTGTTTAAGCTGCTACACGAAACAGACCCGGCTGACCTCTGCGGCACCCGCTGCCACTTGACTGGATAGAGACACCGGCTGTCGGCGGCCTTAGATGAATAACAGTGATTAGGAGGCATAAATAAAAAAGTGCAAGATGATTATCACTAATTTATTCATAAAAGTGACAGTTCGCGAAACAAAGCGGGTCGTAAGGTCACGAGCGGTGAACGTCCCGCTGTCTGGGTGCATTAGTGCGGAGATGAGAAGGGGAAAGGCTCGAGGTTGTTGGACTCGCAGCAAGGACGTCTCCCACCGCGACATGATTCGTAGTGGGATGTGGGATGTGTTCAGTTGTGCTCCAAGCATTTATTAAAGGGATAGTTCACCCAAAAATGAAATAATTTTCTCACCCCCGTGTCTTTAGATCTTCAAATTGCTGCTTGCATGACTTTAGAAGATATGAAACACAGTGCTCAAGCCATATAGACTACTTTTATCATGCCTTTATTATGTTTTTTTTTTTTTTTGGAATTGTCAGCTCATGGTCCCAATCTACTTTCAGTATATGGAAGAAAATGCCATGAACATTCTTAAACCAAATTGTTGTTCAGATGGAAATTATGGGCAGTAAACGCGTTTTGTGCAGTGCAAAACAAAACCCGCCCCACAATTTAACAGGGGGGAAAATAAACTAAATAAACTAAACAAACAAACAAACATACATACATACATCATTTTTCATATATAGGTATAATATATATAATAATAAAATATTAAAAAAAGTTATAATAAACAGTTTTCATACATATATGCAACACTAGAGTTCAAAAGTTTGGGGTCAGTAAGATTTTTGTCAAAGAAAAAAAATAAAAAAAAATTTTATTCAGAATGCATTAAATTTATTAAAAGTGAAAGTAATGACTTTTAATTTCAAATAAATGCTGTTCTTTTAAACTTTCTATTTATTAAAAATCCTGAAAAAAAACAAAAAACAAAATATA